GGAATCCGTCTTGGATCCATCCAGGGCCTGAATCCCCACGGGAATCTCTCCTGGATCCATCCAGGGCCCGAATCCCTCCCGGATCCCGGCAGGAATCCCTCTGGGATCCATCCAGGGCCCAAATCCTTCCCGGATCCCAGCGGGAATCCGTCTTGGATCCATCCAGGGCCCGAATCCCTCCCGGATCCCAGTGGGAATCCCTGTTGGATCCATCCAGGGCCCGAATCCCTCCCGGATCCCAGTGGGAATCTCTCTTGGATCCATACATGTGCGGTTGCTGAGAGGGCCTGTCTGGAGCCGCTCCCGCTCTCCCGTTCGTTCTCCCGATGGATTCCCGACCGCGGCAGCACTCGGAGCCGGGCAGAGCTCCGGCTTCCCCACTAAACCCCCCATGTGCTCCCTGCGTCTGGCATCGCGCCTGGAATAAACCCTCGGGCCCATTTGGAGCGCGAGGCCTTGGCCAGGCTGGATCCAGGGGCTCCTTCCAGCATTCCCAGGCGCTTCCCGGGCTCCGAGTGCCCCCCGTCTTCCTCCCATCCTGGCCCAGGCCACGGGAGCGGCCGACGGCCCTGACTCTCCATGGAAAACATTCCAGACGATGCTTATTTACGGTGCCCGCCGGGTGCCACCGGAGCGGGGGCAAATGCCGCGTGTCGGAAGGAGGGATGCGGACGCCACGGCCGCGGCGGGAGGACGGCATGGGAAGCGACAGGCGGAAGGGGATCCCGGGAGCGCGGGGGCGGCTCTTGGGATCGGTCCGGCCTCGGGAGTCGTCCCCGAACCGGCGCGGCCACATTCTGCAGCCGGGACGAGGCGCTCCATCCGGGCACTGGGAATGCCGCCGGCGCCAGCCTTTTCTTCCCTGCTCCTGCAGCTCCGGAGGCTCCCGTGATCCCGGGGCTCTCCGGAGCCATCGCTGGTGTTTCCTTCCCTGCTTCCCTTGCTTGCCGTTTGCCTTGGAAAGGAAAGCCGGGTGCTGGGGAGCCCCGTCCCCATGGAGGAGCTCGCGCTGATCCCGAGGGAGCGGCGCCTTCGCTCCCGTCCCTGCTGCTGCCGACCCCGTTGGGGGGGTCGGGACACAGGGACAACGGGGGGCACAAAGCGCCGGTGCTCCCCAAAGGGCCCCCCTTGGCTGCGCCGAGGATGGAGTCTCCGCCTCCCTCCTCTTCCTCAGCCGCGTCCGTCTCCACGAGCATTAAAAGCAGGTTCCTCTGGCATTCCCATATGGGAATTCTCATACGGAATTCCCAATACGGAATTCCCATACGGAGCCTCCAGCTTTCCTCACGGCTCCAAGCCATCAGCACCGGCCACGTGCCCATTTTCCATGGCCAAATTCGGAAATTTGGCGCCTCTCGACCTCGTTCTCAGTGTGACCTCTGCCGTGAATGCCCCGCCGGAGCGGGGCCGGGATGCCGTATTTGTCGGGAATTCGGCTCTGCTCTATCCGCCAGCCGCTTCAGCCCGCCTCCTTTTCCTGCGTTTCTCCGCTCCGCTCGCGCTGCTCTAGGCCGGGGCTTTATCCGAAGGCGGCTTTGGGGCTGGCAGGAGCCGGCGCTGCCGAAACCCGCCCCGCTCCCCGGCTGCTCCGCGCCGCATCCCGAGGGTTTCCCGGTCGTGTCCCCTTTCCCGGGCGACGCTCAGCGGGCGCCGGGGACCCGGTGGCCGCCGTGTCCCTCGCGGGAGCAGCCGGGCGCCGTGGGACGCTCGGTGACCCGCCACGAGGGCGGAATTGCCGTCCAGCCCTCCCGACACGCGGGAGCCGCCGCGGAGCTCGTTAGCCGGCCCCAGCTCCGCCGATTGCCCTGCAAATCCAGAGGCTTTCGCAGGAAAGCGGGCGGATTCGGGCTGCTCTTGGCGGCTCTGCTGCTCCGGCGTCGTTCCCGGCGCCGCTCCGGACGCGTGGGGTCCGGCGTCCCCGGCTGCGCTACGCGGTTGTTGAAGCCGGCAGCGTCGGGCTCGGCAGCGTTGGAGCTGGGCAGGGAGCGGTTCCCAGTATTGGATCTGGCGGTGGTTCCAGTATCAGATCTGCGCGGTGTGCGGGGGGGTCTCAGTATTGGATCCGGGGAGGATGGGTCCCAGAATTGGATCCAGTGGCGGGGACAGGTCCCAGTACTGGATCTGGGGGCATTCCCAGTGTCAGATCCAGGGGGATTCCCAGTATCAGATCCAGGGGTGGGGGGGTCCCGGTGTCAGATCCAGTGGCTTCCCAGTATCGGATCCAGGGGGCTGTGTGGATGGGACCGGTGGCCGGGCTCCCCGCCCGGGACACGGGGCGAGCGGGGCTGCGTCCCAGGGCTTTGCCGTGGAAGCGCCTCCTGCCTCGCGCCGGCAGCGGGATTCATGGTGCCGAACGGGCCTCGCCGGCTTCACTGGCCCAGGAGGGGCCGTGGGGTGAAAATCGGGACTCTGGAATCTGGGAATTGCTGGGCCTGGCTGGGAGGGGGGCCTGGGGCCGCTCTCGTCCCCATCTTTCCCGCCCGCTCCCTGACGCCGCCCGCTGTTCCGGCAGGAATGAGCGAGGAGGCTGGTGCGGAGCGCTGAGCAGCCGGAGGGAGCGCTGGGAGCGGCGCCGCGATGCCCGTCCCGCCGCCGCCGCCGCCCGG